GCCAGGTCCCTTGTCTGCCCCACTTACCTCGATGCTGTCATCCAGTGTGTTCCAACCTCCACACTGCTACCTGTAGCCCAGACAGGGATCCCTACCCCCCGGGCCCCGGCATCTGGCATCTTACTCTCTATCCACTTTGTCTGTGGTGACCCCACCCTTCTTTCAGACAGGCCCAGACTGGGCAGGCATCCTTGAGTCCACTTTCGCCCACACCATGGCCACTCCATCGAGGCCTGGCCTCCTCTCCCCACCTCCGTTTTGCAGCCACCTGTGGGACCCCTCCCCTCAGTGGGTTATTGCCTCACTGGTCTCCCTGAATCCCCTTCAGTCTGTTCTTAGCACAGCAACCAGAGGAGACCTTGAAAACATAAATCAGCTCCTTCCCTCCCTAGTTGAAAGCCTTTTAATGGGCTCTTAATTGCACTTGAGCAAAAACTCAGTGTCTTCTGTGCCCTAAGCCCTTTGTGTCTCGCCCACCCACCCCATGTCTACCCTGAGGTCCCCTTATTCTGTTCTTGTTACGGGGCAGGGATTGAGGGTACCCCTGAGCCCTAGACCTGCCTGCTCTAAATAGGTTCTGCCATCCGCTGCATCAAGACAAAACATATCAGACCTTTCATGGAAAGGAACTCTAATACAATCAGTGTGCAATACAGAAAAGACAAAGAATATAGTTTCTAAATTAACACCCAAAGCTACCCATCCCCTCGTGAGCAAAAGTCCACCCAAAAGGAGCTGGCCCAAAGCAAGGCCTGAAAGCTGCCACAAGACTAAAGCACCTTTTGGCCGGGACCCATAGAAAAGGGTCAGAAATGGCCAGACAAGTCTGGGAGGAAAAGAGCAACATTAAAATCAAGATAAACACTGCCAGAGTCAACCACCCTACAGGTCTCTCACCCACATCTGCCTTAACCAGTCCAGGGTCAAGAAGCAAGAGCCTCTTCTTCACATGTCTCCCTCTGCTCCACGTGCCTCCCAAGGTCTCCTCCGGGCTCTCCATCCTGCTTCCTTCCTCCTCAGTCTCCTCTCTAGATTCTCCTTCTCCCTGCTCAGCTCCATCCTCCTTTGGATGGGGCAGAGAACCTAGCACCACCACCCCCTTTCCTGGGGACCCCCCTGTTACATGCCAGCCACCCTGGCCTTGTCCTTCCAGCACCAGGCACACTCAGGACCTTTGCACTGGCTCCCCACTCTGCCTGGACACCCCCATAGACGACTGACTCTTCTTCACACTGTTTGCTTAAATGTCAGCCTCAGTGAGGCCCCCCCTCTAGCCACCCCACTTATAACTGTGAACCTCTAGCTCCCCCACATACTATTTGTTTCCCTACCTGACGTCTTATTTTTCCATGGCATGTAGTGTGATGGGGTGTAAGTTTCTTAAGTTTATTGTTGATCTCCCTGGTGAGCGTGTCAGCCGCCTAAGGCCAGAAGTCTTTGTGGGTTTTCTTCATTGATGTGTCTACGCCTCCAGCACAGCGCCTGGTATGCCGGGGCCCCGGCATAGCATTTTTGACTGTGTTTACTTATTTTCATTTGACAGACTGTTATGTAACCCTCTTTCCATGTCAGGTTCGGTTCTAAGTGTCTATCAAGTGTTAGCTCATGTCATCCTCATAACAACCCTGTGAAGTGCAGGTCGTAGTCAGATCTCTGCTTAGCGGATGATAAGTCCGAGGCAGAGAGAGGTTAAGTCCCCGGCCCAGGGTCACACAGCTTCGGTTGATGGCCGGTTTCCTTGACTTTCAGAGACAGTTCTCACATTCCTACGACTGGTAAACTGCCTTTGAATGTAGAGGAGGAAGAAGGAATGAAAGAGCGAGATGGAAGGAAGGGAAGGAGGGAGGATCAGGAAAAAAGGGGACACTGAAAAATTTGAAGGTGTTAAATTATCAGACATGTGCGCCTCCCCTGCTGATGGTTTCTAAGCCCAAGGAGGAAAAACAGGCTTCAGTTCTTGGAAAGGAGTCTGGCCCCAGTGCATGTTCCAGTTGGCCCTTTGAGGGCTGCCACAGAGCACGCACTTCTAGACAGCCGTTCGCCTTCCTGACAGGCAGACGGCCCAGTGCCCCTGACCTGGCCCTTCTGGGGCCCGTCTTCCCAGAGCAGCTTGGTTTCTGGCAGACTTGCAGAGAGGCCTGTGGGCTGCCTGTGCAGGCCTGGGGGTGATGTTGATGGTGGGCCTGGAAGTTTGGGTTTTAGGGAAACACCTTTCCTTAAACACACCCCTGGAGCTGACAGTGGGGCTGCTGGGCTGTGCCTTCTGTCTGGGGACAGTTTATAAAACAGTGTCCTGAGCCTGGTCACCACAGGAGCTGCCAGTCTGCTTACCCTGAGGCCCCAGGATCTTGGGGTCCAGGGGAACTAGCCTGCTCACTGCATCTCCATCAAAGACACTCTGTTCTTCTCCACGGCACGCCCCTCTGCTTACTGAAGACTCTAGGTTGCTCAGGAGAGCCAGTGGCGCAGATGCACAGCCCCAGGGGAGCCAGGCTCCTGGCCGGGCTGCAAAGCTGCTAATTTGGTCAGTCTGTGGTCTGCCCCGATGAAAACCTGGTATTTCCAGAAGCCTGTGCCTGCATTATTTATTTCTGCCACATCTGCTTCAGGCACTGCAGCCGTGTCCCGTGGCTTCTCGCTCAAGTTCGCATCTGTGTGGTTGCACAACACGAAGCTCAGGAACCTGGGGATCTGGTTTTCATCCTCAGTTCCAAAATGCTGCTCTGGTGGGGAGGGTGCAGGAGGAGCGGGAATGGCTGGGGAGCCCTAACAGATGCCTTGAAGGCTTCTCTGGTGATGCAGCTGGTGTGGTGGTGATGATATTGGTAGAGGTGGTGGCGGTGGTGGGGGTGTTGGGGGTGTTGGTGGTGATAATGGTGAGATGGTGGGGGAGGGGATGGAGGTCAGGTTGAGGGCTTGGTGATGATGAGGGAGGCATACAGGGGTCCCACCCTTTTCTGAGCATGAGCTGTAATGTTTAGAACAACCATACTGAATTCCTGGTAGACATTTGGGCCAGTTGCTGCTCAGAGAGCTTGAGGGACTCAACCAGGTTGGTGGCAGAAGGACCTGATGGCCTGGCTCTAGAAATCTGGAGCCGGCACTCTTACTTCTATACTCACACTTCCCATGATTAATAAACCCTTTAAAAACAGCCCACTCAAGGGGAGGGAAGTGTGTTGGACTATGGTGATGGCACATGGGTGACTTGGTGATGGGAAACCCATGGGGATTACAATTGAGATGAAAAAAAAAATGTACAAAATGATGCAAAATAAACTATTACAAAACAAAAACACCCCACTCAAGACTGAAACCACATGGCAGCCAGAGTGACAGTTTTGCAGGGTAGCTGTTAGCATCACTGCTCTTTGTGGCTGTTCAGTGGCTTCTGAGGATGAGGTCTCAGCTACTCACCAAGGCCCAGAGACCGGGCGGCTGTCTTTCCTCTCCTCATAAATTCCGCCACCCTAGCACTGAGCTGTTCCTCTCACACCAGGCCCCTCCTGCCTCAGGGCCTTAGAACTTGTCACTCCTCATGCCTGGAAGGCTTCTGTCCTTATCTTTCCCTGGTCAGACCTTTTTTACACTCCTCAGGACTAAGTTTGAATGTCCCTGCCTCAGGGACGGCTTTTTGACCATAGGCCTAAGTGGCCCCGGTCACCCAGGCCAGACTCATACTGTTCTGGTTCCAAGCTGTCCCCTGCCCAGCCTGAAACGGCCCCGGTCATTACGTGGCCACATACCTGTGTCTTCTCGCCTCAGCTCCAACCCCAGGAAGGGACTCTGCCTGTCTTGTTACTCAGCCTGATTTTGGTACCTGGCATGGGTTGTGACTATAGCTCAGCCCATAAATGCACTGGTTGTGAAAAGGTGGAAAAGAAATCAGATTGGTAGTGTGGACTAACTGGGTGAAGTCAGACTGGCTTAGGAAATCTGAATGACGGGGCTCTTTAAGATGAGTAAGGCATCTTGTAGTGAGTTGAGTAAGAGGAGGTGTTACCACCTCTCCTCCCACAAATGAGCTGTTTTAGATGAACAAGCAGCTAAGAATGATTTGCAGTGAACCTCCCAGTTGTGACTGTGTTTCTAACGTGCTAGAAAAGTTATTCTCTGTAGTCATTTAAATACTTCCCTGCAATCTTGTAGACACCAGTTGCTCCATTTGTGTATTTTCTGACAGTAAAAACTGAGTGTCATCAGAACCTTCCTATAAACTTCCAGTGAACACATTCCAACTTAACGCCACTACCCACTCTGTTCTCCAGCGACCCTTCTAAGCAGCTCTGGGGGTGAGGGGGTGGCGGGGGATGAGGCTTCTCCCACCCCTCTCTGCTCGCTGGTGCCAAGGATAAGTCATTGAGGACAAACCTTCCCTAGGGAAATGTTGCTGATTTCACATTTGCAGCGGCCTTCAACTTCGGTGTTTGGCAAGATTTGTGACGAGCCTTAACTTAAAACTAGGGTGTTCTGGCAATGCCTAGGAAGAGAGTATACACATCTCTGCCATGCAGATTTGGCAAACACACTAAGCCGAATACATGTATGAACATGTTCACGCAACTTGAATCGTAGTGGCTAGAACAGGGAGGGATACAACCCAAATGTCCATCAGCAGCAGAATAAATAAAGGGACATATTCAGACAGTTGTACTGCAGAGGAATAAAAGCAATAAATTAATGAAGTGCCCAGCAGTGAACATGAATCCTGTTTCTGGTCAACTCCCACTGAATGAAGACAGCTAGCCAGGGGAGATGACTCCCTATATCACTCTGCTCAGAGGAAGTGAAATGACAGCCAGAACTGGTCTCTTGCCTTAGGCACCTCGGGGAGCGGGGTTAAGTGCCAGAGGAGACAGATTTTTCCCATGTGGTGCAGCTGTTGTGTCTGGAGTTTGGTGGTTTCATGTAGGGAACATGTATGTGTGCTAATGTGTTTACATAGCTGTGTGGAGAACATCATTGGCTTAGTGCTGTGTGGACTACAAGTTCACAAAGTCTATGTATTGTAGATAACTTTAAACTATGTTATTAAAATCTTAAAAAAAAGAAAAAGAAGCAACAAATGACCCCTAATGGCTGTTGGAGCTCCTGCTTTGGGCTAAGCACGTTCCCACGCAGCATCTCCCTGAACCCGGCGACCTCCCAGTGGGGTTGGAGGCGACTGCACTGCAGGCGCCAGGTGCTGGCAGCTAAGAGAGGGGAAGGAGGTGCCCATTGTCCCACAGCTGGTAAGCGGCAGAGCCGGGGCTGCCCTGTGTCCTCCATCGCTGGGGCTTTCTCAGCTGCTTCTGGATCACCCTGATGGTCAGGTTCACGTTAACATTTCCCTCAGGCAAGCTGCTGGCCCTTGCTGGCCTGGTGATCGCCTCCCTAACTTTTGCCTGCCTCTCTCACACACCACCCCCCTTGCCTGGACTGGTGGTTCTAATCCAGGTGTGTCTTGTCCCCTCAGCATCCCTTCGTCAGCAGTGTCACCAGTAACAAGGCCCTGCGGGAGCTGGTGGCAGAGGCCAAGGCTGAAGTGATGGAGGAGATCGAAGATGGCCGAGATGAGGGGGAAGAGGAGGACTCCGTGGATGCTGCCCCGGTAAGGCCGGGAGGAACGGGACCTGGGGAGGCTCAGTCTCAGCTGGCCTCTGCTGTGTGTGTGTGGGGGTCAGGGTGGGGTGGGGGGGGTGACAGGGGAGATCTCAGGGCACAGGAAGGATTCTTTCTGTGCCTCTCAAGCTTAGAGGCTTCAGACCCCTAACCATGTCACAGGTTAGGTAATATCACATGGATGTGTAGGCCAGATCCTGTAATTTTTCAGAAAAGACCAGGAGCCTTTCCTAAATAGATTTTCATATATGATTTCATAGATTTTCATATGACATCTTCTAATTTTTTTTTAAGATTTATTTATTTGTACATACAGAACTGGGGTACAGGCCAGAGGCTCAGGGGCGGTGAGAGGCTTCACCAGAGACAGAGTGGGGAACAGAACAGGCAGATTGACGAAGTACACTGCTGAGGGGAGCAGCGGGCGGGCCAGGAGAGGTCTGCCGCGCCATGCGGTCACCTCCAGGACAGGCGGGAATCGCACTCATGCAGAAGTGGCTTTAGCTTCTCAGTGCAGTGCTTTAACCTGCTGTGCCACCAGGGAGGGCCACCACATCTTCTAATTTTGAGAGCTTGTAGCCGGCTTAATTGCTTCCCAATCTTGCCCCACTTTGTGGCTCCCTACAAGATGAGAATACTTTTAGCACGCTGTGGTCTAGAGCAGATAAAGGTTGCAGGTGCTCAGAGGCTGTGGTCAAGGGGCTCAGGCTGCCCCGGATCCCATCTGGCTGCCCCGAGTGCCCTCGAGACCCAGGCCTCAGATCATTTGTTACCTGCCCATCTGTGCTTTAGTGCTCGGTTGGATTTAAATTAGAGCTAACTTAAATTTTGAGACACCATTTGAACCAAGCAGGACATATCTGTGGGCTGGATTCTGTTCTGAGTTGCTGCTGCCAGGTGCCTGGTCAGGCTGTTTGGGGAGGCCTTGTCCAGCAAGGGAGACTGGCCATCTGGGTGGTGCCACTGTCCTGGTGAGGCCGGGCCCAGGCTAGAGGCCAATACAGTGCTTTCTTGAGTTTAATTCATTCTGGGGAGAGCTGAAGGCTGATGTGAATCCTCACCAGGATGAAGAAGGACTCTTCTACATCAGGCACCCTGCACTCTGACAGGACCAAGCTATATTCTACAGATGGGAGCTCAGAGGTCCAGAGTGAAGTGGCCAGCAGAGCTGGGCTAGGTGTGTGCCAGGTGGAAAATGACTGTGTTGAAGAGGGAGGCAGTGTATGGGGGTGCTGGCTCCTGGAGACGCAGCCAGTAGCCTTTTTTTTTTTAAAGATTTATTTATTTATGCATAAAGAACTGGGGTACAGGCCAGAGGTGCAGGGGCAGTGAGAGGGTTCACCAGAGACAGTGGGGAGCAGAACAGGCATATCGATGAGTACACTGCTGAGGGGAGCAGTGCAGGTCAGAAGAGGTGTGCCCTGCGGCGTGGTCACCTCCAGGGGAGGGGATTGAACTCGCTCTGAATCAGCAGCAGCCAGTTTACAATGCTGCTTCCTAACCCTTGCGCCACCAGGGAGGGCCCAGCCAGTAGCCATCTTGAGGAGGAAGGTAGAGTCAGTCGTACCCAGCCTTGTTCTTCACGAGCAAGAGGCTCATGTTTACCATGGGGGCAGTGGGTATACTGAAGCTCCCAGGCTAGGACCAGGCATTGGTGTGGAGTCGGGACAGCACTGTGGGTGGGAGCTTTGTCAGGTGGATATTGAACTTTTATTCACTCTTTCATAACAGCAACATTTTTAGCACTTTCTGCCTGCCATAAGTCCTAAAACAAACAAACAAACAAAAAAACAAAAAAACCACCAAACTTAAAATATTTAGTGGTGACTGGTCTGACCTTTTTAAAAATTTCAAAGTTGTAATGTAAAAATTAGAAGATGGCCTGTATGTATAAATAAATAAATCTTTTAAAAATATTAATTAAAATAGAAAGCTATTGCCATAAAAAAACAAAAAAAAATTAGAAGATGGCATGTAAAAATCAAGATTCCAGTTTTTCTGGGAAAAGTTTCAAAGCTTTGGCCACAGCACCCCACATTGTCGCAGTTGGTTGAAGCAGAGCGGCCATATCGGCTTTAGACAGGATGAGCTGGTCTGGCTGGTCTTAGCGGCCCCCACTGCAGGAGAAACAACAAGTACTAAGTTAAACTAAAACTGGAGAGAGTCAGGAGACACCTGTTCTTTAGAACAGTAACTTTATCGTTGGTTCGGCAATAGGGAATGGGAGGGCCTGTGGCTGATTAGAGAATGATAACTACTTCATTTCCCTGTCCGCAGCCCACTTCATCTTGTGGGTTTCCCCAGCCCCGATGCATCTCTGACTGTTGTCCTGGACATACAGCACCAAGGTATTGACTGTCTTTGTTCCCACAGCCTCTCGAGAACCATACTCACAGCTCTTCTGAAGTGAGTCAGCTGAGCCTCAGTACAGACAAAGAATCATCTTCCACTTCATTGCCACCCAGCCAGCCCCAGGCCAGTGTTAATGGGCTTAGCCAGCCCCCCTCTGGGGACAGACCCCTCCAAGCCACCAGCCCCCCGGCTGTGGCTCCTGCAAATGAAAATGGCCTAGGGGTGCCTGTGCCCCTCCGGAAGACCCGACCTGTGTCAATGGATGCCAGAATTCAGGTCTCTCAGCAGAAGCAAGTCACTGACCAGGGTGGGGACCTCACTCCAGCAGCCAACAGGCCCCGAAAGGCAAGCCAAAGCCGCCCCAACAGCAGCGCCCTGGAGACCTTGAGCAGTGAAAAGCTGGCCAACGGCAGCCTGGAACTCCCTGCACAGTCTGCTCCAGAACCTTCTAAGAGGAACTCAGATTGTGGCAGCCGCTCCACCTCTGAGAGCATGGACTACAGCACCTCTCTCTCAGCTGACCTGTCCCTGAACAAGGAGACGGGCTCCCTGTCCATCAAGGTAATGGCACTCCTGGTGACACAGGCTTGGGCAGGAATGTTTTGTTTGTTCAGAACATTTTGTGGCTCCCTCTTGTGTTTTAAGTAGTTCATGAGGAGTTTTCTTTCTTTAAATGCTTTTAGTTCAATTCAGAGTTTAATTTCCAAAGTATCTTGAGTTCAGTATAGGGTCTGTCACGTCAAGCAGTGAGTTGGGCTTAAATTTCAGTTTGGGTTTTCATGTAAATTGGACTTTGCTGAAGGATCTGGTAGAATTTGGGAGAGGGAATTCTAGAAGTGAAAGTTCCCTTCTTGGGGGCTCAGCCAGTGGGTGCCGCTGATGAGGGGTAATTTCAGGTAAGGGAGTAGGCTTCAGGCTGTCGGGGACTTATGCTACCCCCGTGCTCAGCACGGCCAGTGCTGCAGAGAGCTTTGGGAAAGCAGAGCACTTCTGTATCACACCAAGATGAGCAAACAGAGGCTTAGCTGGGAATCAGGTTGCTGGTTGCCCAAATGCTCTGAACCCCACCAGCCACTGCCTTCTGGATGGGAGCTATGACCTCTGTCTCCACAAAAGCTGGAGAGCTTACTCTTCCCTGTCCACTCCAATAAGTCATGGGGTGTTCTTGCACTCATGGGGTAGTGCTGGACTGACCCCACTGGGAGCCTCCACCCCCAATTAGGGTTGGTGGCGGTGGGGGGCGGCTAATACTGTATCTTCCTTTTCTTCCATCATTTAATAGACTCAAAGATATTTGCTAAGTGAAAGGCAACAAAAGAAAGAGATGCAGCCGGCTGGCCCAGCAGTAGCTTCAAGAATAGAGAACACACACTCGGGTTCTAATGGGTGGTGAAGACAGTAGCTTTTAGTATAAGCAGCATTGGACCCATCATCTGCCCTAGACTGTGGTCTTGCCTGTGCGACGTAATAAGCCCATAATTACCTTAAGAACAAACGGGAAAAATACAGCTGTTAAGAAGAAAAAGTTGGGAGGGTCTCTCCTGCTTTGAGGCTGTTGAGAACATTCCTTTTCTGACTCACTGGCAATGAGTCAAGGAACAGGGCTGTTCTGATAAGACTCCCAGCTGCATCTGTAGCCCTTGGTGTGATGAGGAGCCTGTTACTTCAGGGATCGGAGGCCCCATGGCCACACAGGATGAGGGCTGTGGCCCTGGATACTGTAGGGAGTGGGGTGTGACCTTTAAAGGCAGATGGCGCCCAGATCTCTGGGCAAGGCGGGCTGAGCCTTTGAAGCAGGAACTGTGTGCACTAGTCTCGACTGGTGGGAGTGGGGGAGGGCTCAGTACAGATTTTGGGAGTGGAGCATGTTGCCCAGAGTATTCTTTCTCCTCTCTGGGACTGGAAGGCCCTCAGAGGAGGGTAGGACCTTAGAAGCCAGTTGGGAGGTCTGAACAGGCCCCCAAGGGTGTTTGATCTCCTCCTGGTATCCTGGCAGTTCTCTCTAAGCAAAGGTATGTGAAATGTGAATTCACAGGAAAGGAAAAATATCTGGAATAAGCTCATGGCAGCTCCAGATGGGTATGACCTCCCATCCAGGAAAGCTTGGGCCTGATCCAGTTTGGCTGCTAAATCGTTAAGAACTTCGGTTTTCTGGGCTCTCTGGGTTTGGGTCTTGTGGACGAGAGCCTGGTCTACAGTCATGACTATCTGAAATACAGAGCAAGTGCTGAGTGTGGGCAACGAGCAGGGGCCCCCACCTGTTCTCCCATGGACCCCTCCTCACCACCCTGTTTTCCTCCTCTGACCATTGAGGAAGCTGGGGCTTGAAAATGATGACTCAACCAGCGTCAGGGAGCCAGTAGATGATGGGGATGAGAACCCAGCTCTTTCTAGTGCCACGACCCAGGTACACGCACCTGCTGGCAGCCGGGCAGGGAAGGCCGCAGGGCAGTGTATGAAGGCTGAGGTCAAGGAGAAGGGGCTGAGCTCAGCTACTCAGGCCAGGTTGAGAAACCTTGAGGGGGTTGGACAGCTCTGTTCTTCCTGGGCGGAACTGAGGCGAAGGGTCCAGGAGGGCTGTGGGCTGGTCACCCTGAATTCCTAGCTGAAATGCTGAGCTTCACCTAATGATTTCCCTGGCTAGGACTCAAGGCTGTACAAGAAAACCCTCAAGAGGACACGCAAGTTTGTGGTGGACGGTGTGGAGGTGAGCATCACCACATCCAAGATCATCAGTGAGGATGAGAAGAAGGACGAGGAGATGAGATTTCTCAGGTAAGCCTGGGAAGGGGGGCTGTGGTGCTAATGGTTTGGAAGTGTGGTGAGAGCCTGGGCACAGGTTGTTTCTCGGAGAAGGAGATGTTAGTCTGTGGCAAGAGGTGAGGGACCGAGGCGATTAAAGGGGTTTTTCTTGAGATCTGTACTTGATAGCCATCTACTTGCCCAGTCATCTGTCCATCTCTCTGTCCATCCCCTCATCCTCCCACCCATACATTCATCACCCTCCCACACACACCTGTCCAGCTGCCCATCTATGTCCCCACTCCCATGTGTTACCCCCTCCCCGGTGGGTGAATGCCCCAGGTAGTAAGGCTGCTACCTTTAGACATTTTAGACCTGCTGCGTTAACACAGAATAATACAAGACAATTCCAAGTTAGGGTACCTGCTGTGAGAAAAGCAGTGGGTGATAATCACAGTGAGCTCTGGGCAGGGTGGGAAACCCCTGAGCTGAGCCTGAGGGTGAGGTTCCACCAAAACTGGAGAAAATCTAGAGGACCCTGCAAGAGCAAGGCATGAGAAGAGTTTTTGGGACAGAGAGGACAAGGCTGAGTGAGGAGTGTCAGTCAGAGGGAGAGGGAGGAGTGCGGGTCTCAAGGCTGCTCATGCAGGCTTGCAGGACAGGGTGGACGCATGTGTTTATCCACAGCTGGCATGAAACTGCGGGAGAGCGACTGGTTCTGATGTCCCTTTGGAAAGATGGCTCTGGCTCTGTACAAGTCTGGGCTGTGACAGGGGTGAGGGTGACGCAGGGAGGTTGGGGGAGGACCACTCAGGATAGTCAGGCTGTGGCCTGGGTCAGGGCCAGGAAGAGAGAAGAACTGGTCACATTCAATCTACATTTTGGAGACAGAACTTTTGAGGCTGGGGAGAGGTACCAAGGGGAAGATGGTGTGAAGCAAAGCTGTCTGTTAGGACCAGCCTTTGTACTGTAAAGTTGTTCAGGCTTCATAAGCACCCCTCCTGGGGAGACCATATTTTTCTATTTTGTAAATGAGGAGTCAGTAAGTGAGGCAGTAAGTTACTCGCACCTGGTGAGGAGTAGGGCCCAGGTTCTCACTGGGTCTGTCTACAAGAAGCTTCCACTGGGCTGGGGTGCTTCCTGGAGGTGGGGGCCACAGAGTGCCTTTGCAGGCTAAATTCATTGCTGGCTTGGAGAATGTCTGCAGAACATCAGCCACCTTTATATTATTCAAAAGCACAGACATGGCCCTCCCTGGTGGCGCAGCGGGTTAAAGCACAGCACAAAGAAGCTTAAGCCACTTCCGCATGAGTTCGATCCCCACCTACCCCAGAGGAG